GGCCATACCATTTCATACCATAGGCCTACTACCTATCACATTACATCTTACGTTATACCATTTTGAGATATGACGAAGAATAAAATAAAACTTCTAAAATGGTAGATTGAAGGGGGACTGGACGTATCATGAATGCTTCAGTGGAAGGTTGCAAATGACGCATCTCATTAAAATTATATATAGAACTCATTAAAGACTACGTCACATTTGAGGTCAACTGCATAACATTCTCCATACAAGTAATTTTTGAGTGAAATTACGTGTAGATTTGTGAGATGTTTTTATGAAATCTCATACATTCCATACTTAGGTGAGATTCTATCACTGTTGACATTGGGTTTTGTAATGACTCAAAAACCATTGTTTGTAAATATAGTAATTAATTAAATTCCAAACTGAATCTTTTTTATATTTTAATATTTTTTCATGTTCATCTTTTGAAAATAATGTAAAAATGTATTTGCCAAGATTCCCAAAACCTGTGTTTAATATTAACTAGCTGTTACCCACGGGCTCCACCCCGTTTACTACATAAGTATTAATAAAACTATTGATTGGTTAAGTTAAGCTGAAATGAACAAAGCCGAATACAGTAATGGTAATGCAAACAAATAATAACAGCTGAGGTATTTTTAACATTAGGTAAATGGAAAGTTCCCTTTGGAAAGCAATTACGACCTTATAGGGCAATTTATGAAATAATGGATAATTTTGCGCATGGTTTCTCGTCATGACGAACATTTTAAGTATATGGTTTAGGGGGGTGTGACTTGTAGTTTTCTCAAAAGTTCATGGGTACTTTTGGCTTTATATATAGATTACAAAATGTTGTTTTAACATTAAATTATGATTTATAATAAAAATTTATTCATTGGCTTATCAAAATTATTATTCCAAACAATTTCTACAATTAAAATACAACGCATCTTTGTTGAAGATTATAAATAAAATTCAACACATGTTTTCATAATAAATGAAGAGGTGATTCACAACAATGAACAGGTGGAAAGGGTTTCCAAGAAGAACAGATCAACAGTAATTATTAAATATAGTTGTGATAGCTAAATTGTAAAATTCAAATTAGGTATATTTTAAAATAAAGTGTTGATATTGATTACCAAATTGAAGAAAGAAGAATAATTATATAATCCTGAAGACAAACTCCTTAAAATAGAAGATTAGTGTGAACTTTCTATTTCATTATTACAAAGCTAAACAAAACTATGGATATTCCCGCCCCTGAGAAATTTTGTAGCCTTAGTTTTAATAACTGTTAATGTCCCATTAAACATTATATTTTTAAAACCTCTGTCCCTCGTCATTATTATTATTAGTTAAGATCAGAATAATTATAACTATTAGAGAGGTTTATTTCTGTATTTAAGAGCACACATGTTGTTTATATAGACTAGTAGATGCCATGATGTTTACTGAAAGAGAACATAGTTTAATGAAAGAGTCTAGGGTCCAAATGTTACATTCCAAAAATGCTTTTTTATTAGTGATATATAAGGACACATGATTCTATTTCTTTCGTGTAAATAACTTTTTACATTTTGGTTGAGCTCGTTTAATTTTTAAATAATACATCATTACTATGTATGGCCAAAATGGTTGTTTCTTTATTTTGCTATCAAGATTTTAATATTCTTATTAATATGGTGGCTAAAGTTACTCAATTGCCTAGCTAGCTATTAAAAGTAAAAAAATGTAAAAACTATTTATTGATTTTATCCTCTAAGTACAGTATTTAAAAAATGATTTATTTTTTTCAAAATTGTTTTAAAATTATTTATGTTTAAATTTATGGACTGGATAAATATTTTTACTTAATTAAAACAGGCGTACATTAGAAATGTGAGTTCGCATTCAGCTTTAAAACTAATACTTTTTTACTTCACAAATTTAACGACTAAATTCTTATTTTTTCTTAGTTTATTCAAAGGAGGTTTTCAAATAACTATAACTTATAACACTATTACCCTGTAGTGTTATGAACCAAAATAAAACGTATGAAACGATTTTTCCTTGGCGCAGATTGGATTTTGTTTCATTCCGCCATCGCTGCAGCAGCATTTTCCCATTTCCGTTCTTTGATGCATTCCAAGCGATGCACGAACTGGGGTTATTGGATTTACGGAGGTATCTCGCATCAAAGTGCACTCTAAGAGAAGTTATTTGATGCGGTATAGCTTAATTATATTTTTTGTTACCTCTATATGCTACCTCTATAAGATACAAAACACACACTGTTTCTAATCAAATGTTAGTAGATAATTTTCCTTAAGTCCTTCTTCTGTTGGTTCTAATGCTGTTGATGGAAATGCGATACAATTTTTTTAATTTTCTCCGTAACCCGTAGGCGCATAATAACGGATCAATATACTAAATTATTTGTTTGTTTGTTTTGTTTTTTTTTGCTCTACAAAATGGTTTGTAGAGAAACTGTTAGATTTTATGTTTTTTGGGTCAAAAATGGGAAACCCAATTTTTACCCAATAAAACCCCCCATAAAACCCATCGATTTATATTATTACTACAGTTGTAGTAATAGAAATCGATGATAAAACCCCGTTATCAAAGTCCGATAATGCTGGTTCGCGAACTCGTTCAAATTAATGCAGGTTTACACGTTTGTACCAAATTTCGTCAAAATCGGATCATTTTTGCTCGAGTTGTTATTTGATGCGGTGTAGCTTAATAATTATATTTTTTTGTTACCTCTATATGCTACCTCTATAAGATACAAAACACACACTGTTTCTAATCAAATGTTAGTATATAATTTTCCTTTAGAGTCCTTCTTCTATTGGTTCTAATGCTATTGATGGAAGTCGATCATTGATAACGCTAAAACAAGGAGTCGTATTTTTATGTGAGAGACATTTAAGACATAAAAATTCAAGTGTTTGACATTACTTGTCAAATGTGAAACTCGTTCATATGCGTTTAGGCTGGAATAAACGGTGTATTATTTGGAAGTTAACTATCGCTTAACAAATCACTAGTTCTAGGCGCTGACACACAAATGAAATACCCCCGCCGTAGCAAACCTGCAGACTAAGCGAATTTCTGTTTGCCTGATTGGATTTACACTAAAATGTCTCCTTCAAAATATCACATTTATTTCCTATTTAAATAGAATTAGTTTAACGAGTACTCTAGGTTTGCTGCATCAGGGAGGGTAAAATCACTTGCTAATACTTGGGAATGGATGTAATGAATCTTTAACTGAAGGTAAACTTCTTTTAAGGTGTTTAGCTAGAATCTTAAACATTTCAAATCAATTCCAGACTGAATTTAAAATCAAGTTGCAAATGTTACTGAAACTACATATTCTCCATTAATCGTCATATGTATTTGCTTCACTCAGTTCTCGGAACTTAATTAGAATGTATACGATTTCTATCTCGCCAATTATAACCTCAAAGCCATCCTAATTTACTCTTGACACACGTTCGTGGTTCTTCGTGCTTGGTTGCGTTAAGCCTCTACTAAACCTTAACTAATAATATATTTATGTTTCCAAAGTTCTTCGTGTCTGGCTCTGTCAACCCGAATTTTGCCAGACTTTTATCTATCCAAAGCATCTTCCTAAGCTTCTGGATTACCATTAAAAAATTTTAAATGATTGGTTTCACTTGTAAATCATTCTCATGTTCAGTTATACTACGTTTAATAAAGTTATAATGTCAATTACTTTTAGTGATGACCCGTCCTCATTTTTTATTTGATAACAATTTTCGTACCGACGAACGATCTATATTTATAATGTCTACAATAACACTCTACAAGAAATTCATAATATTAACAAACGAATGTTGGAACAGAAACTGTATGAATCATAAACATCCTAATCCTATACTAATATCATTAATAGCTTATTCCCTATATGGGAAATTCGCAAACATAACTAACTGTATTCACAGTTCCTTTTAAGTAATGCCTACAGGTAGGTATAGTCAATGGTAATGCTCAATTGTGTTTACGCTAGTGACGTCATTAGTTTATATTTATGGTGCATACCGTTTCTGTTCTAACGATCGTGATTTAACATCTGTTGACAAGCATTGTTGTGACGCGTCTGTCACTGGGATTGCGGAACGTCGCAACAATGGAATCGTGGAACGTCGCAGCTTATGTTTCGTTGCGAGTTGTTACTGCTTATAATTAGTTTACATTATTATATAATTTATAATGTCCGACAGTAAGTACGATGTTACTATGATAGAGTTGATAGTCAAAGCTAATAACTTCTTAAGGTATCCATCCCACAAAATCCTAGCTCTGTGCTATGCACAATTTACTTTATCCCCTGGTAAAAATTGTGGACAACGTCTCGCAATCTCGTTCAGTGCTACCTACAGTTGTAGCTTGCTGAGAGCATTTCCCTTGTCTGTGCTGAGGGGTTCCAACTAAACGCAGCTTATCTTTACCAACCTAACCTAACCTAACTCTTGACCCATTATTGTTGTTGCAGCCATCGTAGATGTTAGCTTGTCTGTGCTTTAGCTGAGATGTTCTAACTAAACGCAGCTTATCTTTTCCAACCTAACCTAACTCTTGACCCATTATTGTTGTTGCAGCCATCGTAGATGTTTGCTTGTCTGTGCTTTAGCTGAGATGTTCTAACTAAACGCAGCTTATCTTTTCCAACCTAACCTAACTCTTGACCCATTATTGTTGTTGCAGCCATCGTAGATGTTTGCTTGTCTGTGCTTTAGCTGAGATGTTCTAACTAAACGCAGCTTATCTTTTCCAACCTAACCTAACTCTTGACCCATTATTGTTGTTGCAGCCATCGTAGATGTTTGCTTGTCTGTGCTTTAGCTGAGATGTTCTAACTAAACGCAGCTTATCTTTTCCAACCTAACCTAACTCTTGGCCCATTATTGTTGGTACAGCCATCGTAGATGTCTGCTTGTCTGTGCTGAGATGTTCTAACTAAACGCAGCTAATCTTTTCCAACCTAACCTAACTACCCATTATTGTTGTTGCAGCCATCGTAGATGTTTGCTTGTCTGTGCTCGCCGTCTCCGGATTGATCTCCAACTCTCTCGTCCTCATCGTGTTCTATCGTAGGCCTGCTCTGCGCTCTCCGTCTAACCGGTAACTATAGGCACTTGGGACAAACTGGCATGACTAGTTTCACAAAATATATGCATTTTTAAGGTGTTGGACAAGGCTGTGGACTATCACACTAATAGTTAGACCCAGCTGTTCCTGATCATTGGGCTTTAAATGATCCTGGCTAATGAAACAGCTGATCATAGTCAGTAACAAAGCTACACAGACCATCTCACACCATTCTTCACTCATATTTGGGTTAAAATACGCACCTAGGTGGCGTTCCCATCTCAATGATTGATATTGATATTGACTATATTATATATATCTTGACTATATTCTACTAAAGGGGTACCATTTAGGTTCAGAGGAATTAGGATCAGAATTGTCGGCTTGCTTAAGCATTCTTAAGCTTAACTCTACGATATCGTGATATAAAATTTGCTTTGAAGTGGACATTGGCATTGAAAACAAAGCTACCAAGTTTCATTTAAGATTTAGAACAACTAAGAATTCACAAAAAATATAAATTACAATCACAGTATTGAGCAGGTTATATTTTATAATAGTGAATCTTGGGTTACAAAATCCAATACGTTTTAAGTTGTGGAAATGATATTTTAAACAGATTAACGGGAGGTTTGATTAGAAAGTCTTTGTTACTCTTAATTTGATGACTAGTTAAGGGTAAGGGATTAGGCTAGCCTTCAAATCCCTTTGGTATTTGAAACAATATTTTGAAATGGTAAACAACTCTTGAGTGGCTGTTTGAAATCAACAAAATTAACATTGCTCTTACGGAGGGCAAATCCAAGATGGCCGTTAGCTTCCATGGACTCATTTGGAAAACAATTAGAAAACAAGAAGTTTCTGATCTCACAGGGCACTAGATATTTAAATTACAATCACTTTGATATTCGAACAAACATTGTTGGATGATAAATACCCTTCAGCTGTTTGAAATAATCCAAGATGGCCGCTGGCCTCCAAGGACTCTTATCTCAAAGAGCAATCTTAGTTGTAAATGCACGAATAAAATCCTGCTTTAACTTTTTAGCAAGTAGTTTTCTGTTCTTCCAATTTACATAGAGAAGTTTTGCCAAAGTCAGTGTACTTTCTTTTCTCCAGGTTCGTAGGAAGCCTAGTATTCTCCAACCTAATCTCCGCCATGGTTCTCGCCCCCGTGCTGGTGTCCAGAGTCCCCTGGCTCTCGGCAGGTATGAGTGCCTTGGTCGCCACTTCCACTGTGTTCTCCATCGTCGCCATCGCGCTGGACCGCTACCGAGCCGTCCTTTCGCCCCTGCACTACGCCATGACAGTCACCCGCAGACGGAGTCTGGCAGGTTAGATTTCCAGATAGTTGCTTCTTCACGAGTTCGTGTTAAGTGTATCATGAGTACTACCATGGCCTCCTGTAATACAAGGCTGCAAGACAAAAATGGCAATACCGGTGTATTTTCTTGTATGGCTGTCTAATAAGCAAAAAAGTGGTATAGCATAAAATCAATGGTACTGCCAACAAAATATTTTTTACACCACACTACACTGTTTTGACGTACTTCCCACGCAAGGATTTAGTCCAGAAAAAAGACTGTTTGCCGTCAGCTTAATCAAATGGGTGTTCATTACGTACTACTGTATTGTAATGAGTTTTACCGGACACTAATCAGCTGATTATATACTGTATTTGGCAATGAGTGAGAGTGGTTAGATTATAAACAAAAACATAACCTCTCTTAGAGATTATGATTAGTGATTGTTAGTCATCAAGCGGTTAAAGATTTGTACGGATTTAGTAGTATGGCGTAAACTATCGTACGTCACTCGTCCAAAATGTGTTTACCAGACTCGTATGGTAATCCCGTACTCGACTTCGTCTTGCACGGGAACAACCCCACTCGTCCGTAAACACCTATTTTCAGGACTAGTACCGTAACGTAATATACTATTACAAATTTATTGCCCTGTGTTGTAACGAAAATGTAAAACATCAAGAACGGATTGAAATACATTCTCAGTTTATAATGATTTTCTGTCCAGATGTTGTTGTTTTTTTTCTCTAGGAATTAATCAATGTCAGAAATTCCTGATATGTAAGTCTTACAACGTTTTGATATTGTATTATTTGTCTGAAACAATCTATGAAGTTATGTGTTTGACCTTTTAGCTCTCCATTAGTAGGCAATGAGTGAACTTTTTAGTAAAGTTTCAGTAAAGTTTTTAGTATTTCTTACAACTCTATTAATTTTACTTATAATCCAGAAAGAGCTGTAACTAATCTCTTAAAGAAAATATCCTGTACACGTGAATAAATTATTTATACAGAAGATCCTAAACTTCTAAACATTTTAAGTTTTCACATTAGGTACAGTGTAAACAATACCTAATTGTATTGGCAACTTCGTCTATAATCTCTAATTATTAGTACCAGTTTTACTCAAATAAAGAAACTGTTAGTAATTAATATTCACCCAATATCCATCGCCCAACTAAAACTCAAATAACTTTTACAGTTGGATCCAATCGTTCAAAAAATACAAATTAGTGTTGACACACAAACCGACCTGACCTTCCCTATACAATAATCCGTCATCTGTGCAGCCTTTGTTTCTGGCGTATCGGTAAAAGGATTAAGCCAGTGACATGCACCGAGCTATCAGCTGTTGCTAATCCTCGCGCATTCGTCACAAGTTTACTGTGACAAGTAATTCGTCATTCCTTTTTAGTTGTTAATTATTGCATCAGCTGATTTGTGAGGATTATTGGTCCAGATGTTGGTAACTGCTCATTAATTTATTGACGTCGTAAATTTCCTGTTTGTTCAATGGCAAAGTTGTGATGTGTCAAAACCAAAACTTAAAACCACCAAAAGTTTCGGTTTCTAGATTCGTTTCGAAATTCATAAGAATCGAAATTTAAGACTTTGGCCGTTTTGTTTTGAAACTGCTGACATTTTTGCGTAATTATTGTTTTAGTATTCGTGTTATACACGTAACACCATTTAGACAGAGAGGCTGGCAGCAATGGAGCAAAGAGATAACCATCATCACTGATGAAACTAGTAAATTGTATTCTGAACTGCAATAATTATCATAAATACTAGTACTGCGACGAAGAATAAATAGTTTCATATAAGCCTAAATATTTTTAAAACAAATAAATATTGATAGTTAATGTTTTTGTTAGTGTCAGTAGTATCTGTATGTCAGGAGTCAATTTATTTCAGTTTTGATTGCATAATAAACATTTTATAGTTTTACAATTGTTTTTCCTACATTCACCTGACACTGTATAGCACAGAAAGTTGCTAATTGATGCATTTACTTACTTTTTCCGCACTCTTTTTTTGCTGCATTCCATTATTCCAACCAACACAAAACAGTTTACTTTTATTAGGCACGTAATGGTGTCCTCTTGAAAATGAGTTGTCATCACTTAAAGATAGTATGACTATAAGATGAACAGCTGATGCAGTGTTTCTCATTTCATTCAAGCTTGGATTTAACCTAACCTAAAAACGTGTTGTATAGTGTTTGAAAGAATAAGTATTTCTATGCTTTATAGTAACTGTGGGAAAAATATAATGTGTAACGAGCGCAAATTGTCTTTGCTGCACCCAAGAAACTTTCTCTCATGTGCAGCAAAGTGTCACTTTGCACACAAATAACTATTTTTTTCTTGTATCTACGCCAGTGGCATTTTTGTTATGAAGTCATTTCAAACACTTTTAAGGGAAAGCGGTCCAAACCCATTAAAGTTTTGTGGATATGCCGGGGATTGAACCCATCCCTCCCCCACCGAAATCCGAGATGCTAACCACTAGGCTAGCAACACAACCAACTACTCCTATCGGCAACATTTGCCTGATTTCTTGCACAAGAGCTCTGACAACAACAACAAAGTTAAATCCAAGTTCTTCAAAGTTCAATTCAAGTTCTTGAATTTAGGTTAACATAAACATACCCGTGTTTTTTTGTGCCAAGCAAGGTAACTAAACAGGTTTCTTATTTGGGTTTTGGTATTCTAAATTTCTAGGTTTGACCATAACTATACTCCAGTCACAAAATATACGTGGTTTGATTATAACTATACTCCAGTCACAAAATGTACGTGGTTTGACCATAACTATACTCCAGTCGAAAAATGTACGTGGTTTGACGGGAAGCTATTTATTCCATGCCAGGACTTTATCTCACCCTAACAATGATACAACAAACGACAGCTGATCAACATGTCAAATATTCAACTGAAAAAATTGGTTGCGGACCCAAGAAACCTTCCTTAAATTTTGAAAAAGGACTGGACTAGTATATCGGCTTTGTTATTTGACTTCAACATCTATGTTGCGATTGTAACCTTTATATTTTCGGCTCTCTAGTGATTGGTGTAACGTGGAGTCTTTCTGCACTGCTGGCATCACCTCACCTCCTCATGACATGTGAGACCCCAGTCTTCTGGCTGACTCACTCTCTTGTCGTGCTGTTGCTGGGATTCACCTTTCCTCTTATTGCTCTGGTGCTGATCTATGTCAGGATGTACGTCGCGGCGCACAGGTAAAATATGTTTTTGGTCAATACACCTTGGTATTAGCAAGCTTTTGGCGAATTTCTCTTATAGGGAATAAGCTATTACCGTAGTACTAATGGTAAGACCTGGATCCGGGACTGGTTTACTTTTTAGTTTTGAGGTCTCTAGAGGCCAAAAACACCATCCGTTCAAATTCATATATATCCTGTGGTCTGATTTTGATCAATTTTGTATTTAGGTACTAATTAAAAGCATCTTCAGGCATTTATTTTTATTTTTGGATTTTTTTTAATATGATAACTCATAAAAATAATGAATAATAAGATTTTTACAAAACTGCTCAAATGAGTTTTATTGAAATCCATTATGTACGCTCCTTTAAAAAAAAATTGTACCTACAACCCTTATTGCTGTCAAAGTTAGAGTTTAAAATTATGGAAATTTGTTGGGTGTTTAAAAAAAAAAAAAAAAAACATAAATACCTACTCTGCTTCACTATGATAAGGAATGTTATCAAGATAATGGGGGAAAATAAATGTCAGATGGATGATAGCGTTTATTTAATCGTACACATCTCATCCACACTCATGAGTAGTAGACTTAATGCTTGCACAAGGACAATGGACATGAAAGCATTATTTATTTAAATACATCAAAGGCCAAACACTGACTGTTTTATAAACTGAGATTCCTAGAAGTTAAATCTACTTACCTCAGTGCAGAAGCTATTGATCAGACCATAATGCAATCTGCCGCAGTAACAAAACAACACTGGTCAACCAAAAGCCCAAACCTACTAGTAGTTATAAACTTGACACCCAAGTACATATCAAGTATACCTTCAGGTGTTTTGTTGAGTTATACTTGCAGTAGTTATACTTGAAGTATGGCCATGTTACTCTAATAAAGATCTTGAATTAGATACAACAGCCTTAAGACAGGGTTAGTAAAATTATTTCCAATTTTGCTGACTTTAGGAACAGCCTGCGTACGAGACGACAAAGTATGACAACAGATCTGGAGTTGGCTCGAAGGACTTCCAATGCGACATTCTCTGCATTGTTCTTTCGTGAAGAAGGTCGTGCTGTTAAGACTGCTGTAAGTTAAATCAACTAGTTAAGAATAGTAATTAATTCATCCTAGTATAAAATATTCATTTGACATACCTTTACAATGTCCAAGGTCCCAGGAAGTTGTTATAGTACTATTTTTGTAGAAAATACCACATCTTTAGGTAGGCTTACATTTATGAGGTAAAATTTACATTGAACACAAATACATTGAACATAATGACACATAAATACAAAGATAACAAACAAGTCACTGTATATTTACTAGGACTCACTTGGGGTGCATGCATGTGTATTCCCAGTTCGCTTGCGACTGGTGTCATATTATTAATCATAGTTTTTGGTAGCAATAAATACCACTTGAACTAGATGAATCTGTTCTCTTCATAAATTAAAGAGAAAGATAAGAATTATTTCATTAAATAAAACTTTGATTACCATAAAAGTACGGTAACTTAATAAATACCTGGTTGGCCAACAATTTTGCAGGGAGACCCAATAGAAGTTTTTCCAGCCTCCAATTGTCTGTAAGGCCATAATCATGTCACATTTATACAACCGAGCATTCATTTGAGCAGAAAAATTCACTGGCATTAATGAAGATAAGGTGAAGTCCTAAAAAAAACCACACATCAATTCTTGGGCTCACTTCAAGGCTATAATCCATGTATATCCATGTATAGTTAATACAGTAAAGTTGGAACCGAGAAAAATAACCGCTAACTATACATTTCTTTAATTGGTTTTTGACTGTTTTTTTTTTCAGGTGATGGTTATAGCCTCTTATCTGTTTTGTTGGACACCATACTTTGTGTCCTCCACAAGTCAAACCTGGGGTGGAGTATCGTTACCCAGGTAGGTGGAGTGAATTTCTAAGTTAAATATTTTATGAAAATTATTAATTTACAGGTGGAAAATCTGATTAGTCTGAAAGTAGAAGAATGCAGGAGTATTTGATGCAATCCTCTATTTCAATGCATAACTCATTATTATATTTATATTCTAGATATTTGTAAAAAATAAAAGTCTTCTGGCTCATTGAGAGTGACTCGTTAAAAGATTGGGTCACAAAAATAATAGTGTTATGGGTTTTGAAATTCTTCAAAATTATTTTTCAGGATTTTTCCTTAAAACATACAGATTCCCAGTTTTCATCAAACGCATCACGTACTTCCAGATTGTATTACTTAAATAATAAAATCTGGATTATGTTCTTCAATTCAGTATTTTACATATACTTCTTCTTGAAGACATAAGAAACAAGATGAAAATCATGAAGAACATGAGTACCTATCTATATTGTGTTTACCTTATCAACCAACTCGAATTTTATTTTACAGCATGCAATGTTTTCACTGAAGACAAGTGTCAAAATGTTTATATTTCTGTACCGGTACTCATTGAAAAACCTTGACTAAATTTTGCAGAGGATTAATATTTCAATATACCCAAAATAGTAATCAAAGATTAAATTCAAAATGTAATGTTTGTAATTCCCAAAAGAGATATTTTGCTTAAAGCACTGAAATAGTGTTTTTTAGTATTTGAAAATAAATAATTGGTTTCGTTTAAAAGTTTTATCAGGGCCGTACCCAGCTTTGGCAGGCCCCCGTAAAGATTTTAGGCCCGGTTCCCTCCCCTTAAACTTGGGCCCTGGTCAAACTGTCCGGAAAACTGATATGAGTACGGCCCTGATTTTTACTGACATATACAAGATTTATTTTTCGACCAAAAGTAATATTGCATCCAAGCATTGTCTCTTAAACTAGAGACATTCATACTCCAGCCCATTTAGCATTCAGTCATATCCCATTCTAAGTTCAAGGCCAGGTAACAATCTTTTGTTGAAATGGAATAATGTTAAATGAGCCTCTAAAAAGTGTACCACTGTAAAAATTGAATACCTCTTTTCGTCAATCAACACTGAATCAATCAATCGAATCAACTCCGTTCAACATGAATGTGCTGCAGCTTGCAATAAGTTGTCCATTTTCATTTGGCTCTGTTAATGTTTGATGTGGAGGTCAGAAATCAGTACCTAGGTAATTGACAGCATGACACTCTGTCAAAGGTTCAATTCAATTACGTTAATTGCTATTCTAAAATTGGCTACAACTTTGATAGAAAGGGGGTCACTTCTCAGTAGTGTCTTCTAATTGGTCAAATATTCAACCAATAAAGTTGGCAGAATATGGTCTACTTTACCTTGCCTAAAATGATCCTGTTTAGTCGTCAAACACGACAGCTGTTTCGTGCTACAATGAGCACATCTTCAAAGTGAAGAAACACAAAATCAACACATTTCGCCCGCGGTTGAGCACGTCAAAAACACATCAAGAACATGAAGTTCACACAAACACAACATATTAAAACACTTGGCCAAGTACCGCCAACTTCATGTACTTTATGTGTTTTTGTTGTGCTCAACCGCGGGCGAAATGTGTTGATTTTGTGTTTCTTCACTTTGAAGATGTGCTCATTGTAGCACGAAACAGCTGTCGTGTTTGACGACTAAACAGAATCATTTTAGGCAAGGTAAAGTAAACCATATTCTGCTAATTTTAGTGATCCAGAAGCTATCCATCATGCAATAAAGTTGTTAAAGGGTGCTAAATTTTGTTAAAGCTGATATAAAAACTACTGATACAGTAGCCTTTTGACAAAATCCATACTACGGTACCTACTGTATTGTGTTAGTTTGTTTATCTAGAAAATATATTTTGGGAGATTGTTTGTTTTCATTGATTATGTTATTGTTTTCAGGTCACTAGTTACAATTTGTGCCATTTCTGGGTCTTCGTTGAATCCGTTTGTTTATGTTTTCCGCAACGAGTCAGTGCGCAAAGAAGCCACAAAAGTAGTCTGTTGGTGAGTGCAAAATATAAACGGCATCTATAAGGACAAATCATATCTAATAATTTCACAGAGAAGTAAGGCATAGAGGAAACATAAGGAGTTGTCTAGCACTAGTGCTGGTGTCTCGGGTAAAGCCCACCTCTGCCTCATGTACTGAAACGCTCATGGTGGAAGACCTTGTGCCATTTGTGGTAGGAATTTCTATACAGTGCTCGCCGCACGGGCTCTTCCTTGTTTGTCACAATTATATTTCCGGCACAACATACTAGAGCTGAAAAGCGCATGGTTTCATAATCAAATTCCGCTGTACCTTACTTCTCTGTCACAATCTTGTTAAGTGGGCAAATTCTTCACCTGACGAACAGTCTTTTAAAGACAAATCCTGAGTTATAAACTACACAAAATGCAAGGAAAGTACACTGAGTAATTTTGCTTAAATATGTTAACACGATAGCTACATGACAGAATATTTTACTCCATGTACATAAACATACATGAAGATTCATAGTATGTTTGTTACACAGTTATATACTGGCTACACAAAAGATATATTTCAATTACATATTAAGAGATGAGGATTTTTTGGACCCCAGCTATATTTGAAAGAAACAATACTTTAGACTCAGTACAGATTGATGTGATATTTGGGTATTTTGTCCCACTAATGTGAGATCTTGAGAGTGACTCTGTCCCCCAGGTGGAGGGTACCGTCGTGTCCCCCGGGTCAGCCCCCGGGCACTGTCCCACGGGTGCGTCACCAGTCATCCTCCAGGTGCGACTCCATGAGTGTCCAGAGCTTCCAGATGTCCACAACAGAGTGTCATCACATGGAACCTCCCCCTGCGGACTTTGTCACCACTTACAACCCGGTAAAAAATTCAAATATAACATATAGAGTTAGGCAAAATGTATGGATACCCTCATCTAATTTATCAATGGGTTACACCAGTGTAACTAAAATCTGCACACATTTAGTCTGGTAAATAAGTGTACTTTTTGGTAGGTGTTAAAATTATTCCTGGGACCCCAAATATTTTTAGGGGAAGCTCAAATAGTGAACATCTATCCTTTTTGTGGAAACAACATCATCATCTACAAGATTGTGATGCAATCCTGATCGTCTGTTTCCTGTGGTCACACATAGGAATTGTGAACATCTTTTGCAGTTGCGGAGACTTCATCATCGTCTCTTGGATCTTACATAATTGTTTTTTTTTACTGTGCACCTTTCATGAACTCTTTCAGCGGTTGCGAAAATAAAAACTTGGCTTGAGAAATGAACCAACCAAAAGATTATTGGTTAGATTAAATTTTCAAGAGAAAATAATTCGTTTGAGGCTCTAAGTGAGGCACCTTTCTAGGCAAAGACCCTCAGCAATCGCTATGTCCTCCGTCGGTAAAATATGGTCCTGGTTGGTTAATTTTAAATACACAATGGTCAAAGACACCTAGGTCTAGTTTTGAACCATTAAAAACTATTCTCAATATTGAACTGGCAAGCTTCACTATATCTTACTCAGCTAATGATACATGACAATAATGACAATTGGACAAATATCTTACTTAGGATATACTTTTGTGACCACGGTCAATGTTCCTTCAGATCCAAGGAGAGTCACAGCGCTACGAGAGTGTGACGTTCCGTCTGGCGCAGCGGAGATGTCAAACCTGTGTGAGACAGAACTCCGACTCGTCTACAGGCAGCGGACATCCGTTGCTGACTCCCCTACCTCGGCGTCAGCGACCTGCCAGTGAGCCTTCCACCCCTAGGCACTTCAACAACAATGACAGCGACGACAAGACCACAGTTTTCAAGGTACAGATCACCTTCATAGTATAGGCCTAGAGAATTAAGCTACAAAGGAAACATTCATGATTCATGGTACACGTAAGTGGTGTCCAGCACTAGTCGCTGGGTGTTAAGGGCAAAGTCCAAAACCACCCATCTCACCATCATGTACTACAATTCTCGTGGCGGAGGAAGGCCCTCTGCTCTGTGCAATAGGAATTTCTGCACAGTGCTTGCCACTTGGCTCTTCCTTACTCGTCAAGTATATTTCCGGCACAACCATAGACAAAAAGAAATGTAGAATGTCGGGTGTGCTGCGGTTACCATAGGTTCTGGCACACACCGCTGGGAGCGCACTACACACACTACGTAACTACACGGCGCTCCCAGCATTGTGCGCCAGAACCTATGGTACCGTAACCATGGTAACCACAGCAGGGCTGACAGTCAATATTTAATTCTTTTTGTCTATGGCACAACATACTAGAGCAGAAAGCGAACGGTTGTTCCATAAGTGTGTTTAAATTTTCTCTGTAGCCTACTTCTCTGTGGTATAGGTCAACCAGCCACTAGAGAAAAACATGCAAGATACACAATACATCTGAGTCATTGAACTCAAAAAGAATGATCTCTCTCCACAGTGACAAATCCAAGGTTCAAAAGAATTTAGATACAGCATTTATTGCATTTTTTTTCATTTCTATCCGTGCAGTTTTTATGGTCAATTCTGTAATATATAAACCATCAAAAAGTATGACTAAATAATGCATAGGGAATTCTAAAACTCCACACTTTAAGTATCACTCTCTTTTGACTTTGAGCCAGAGTAAAAATTGACGAAAACTGTCTTTGAAGACAAAAGAAAATCTTGTTGTATACTGAACATGGGCATTATTAAATTGTGCTTGTGAAATTTTATAAGATGATATTTCATAATTTGTATGAAACAGCTCTTTAGCAGTCAGTTTAAATTCAAACTGTTGTTGGTTTAAATTTTGTATCAAGGTCTTTGTTGGGCTGTTAGTGTTTTTTACTTTTCAATACTAAAACTACTAAAAGTACATATAAAGGGTTCAAATACATACAACTTCATAGCCAATAGTTGATGACGACTTGAGAAAAATTCCAATCCAGAAAACATTCCCCTTTGTTTGCGAAATTGTGTGTCGTGTTGCATTGCTGTGTGTTATTTGTGCTCAGGAATATACATTAGAAAGGTTTGGCGGGTACGCGGATTGGGGACGCAGAAAATACAAGTACAAATACAGCTGCTGGGTTGCCTAAAAAAGAAGCGGTTATATTGGAGTGTCAAATTAAAGTTATTAGTTACAGATATATCTCCAAAAAATACATGTATTCATTTAATATTAGTTGGTACATAACTTGCTAAGATAAATGAAAACACGTAACTCCAACATTTTTTGTTTGTTTTGCCTGCCAGACGCAGTTGCATCCTTGTCTACCCTACGTTTCACAAAAATTCTGCTTTGAGCTACTATGTTTTTTTGACTGTTTAATTTTCAATTTTTATTTTCAAGATGCATTGTACAAATAAGTAATTTTTTACATGTTTGAAACAAATTTTATCACTATTTACTTTTAGTTCCAGGAGGCGCCGGATCGGTTGCACGAAGTTGGAGAAAACCGAAGAGAACGTTTCAGGCTACAACGTCTTCCTGCGATAGAGGCAGATGAGCCTGGAACCCAAGTGTAGAAAGATGAAGATCCGTTTGGGATTTCAACAATGGTCTAATGCAGAGCTGAAGAAAAGCTTTGTCTGTGGTCTGTGGATTTGATTCCATGGTTTTACTGCAGATTTTGTAGTCAGCGCTCAGCAGAGGGTACAAGAAACAACCACATCCTACTAACACCTTTAGAATGTGGTAGAAAGGATACATCTGTGAAACGGAGGACCCATCGATGATGGAATTGTTAGATGAATGTAATTATTGTAAATCTAGGTTTATTTGGGTAAGATAGAAATGTAATATTTTTTGCTGGGACCATGAAAAAGTTTGAGTGTTGGAAGACTTCCGGATTAGATTTTCAGAAATATTGGTTCAAGATTATTTTATTTTGAGTAATACATTTCTCGTCCAGAACTCACTAAGCTTTTTGGTTGGCAATAAATTATTTATCCCTATAAAATATGTTTTTCTTCATCTAGAAGCTGACACACTGATACTCACAGATTTTTTTGAAAAGTTCAACCTGATCATTAGATACTAGTAGATGTTAAGTAAGTGCTGTTACATTCAAATAGTAGGTTACTTTACTCATAACATATAAATAAATACATCATTTAGCTTAATGAAAGAAGTCTTTTTTACTGTGTTGGGTGCAAACTATCAAAATTTTTAATTTAGAGGGAGAAGTCCCATAGTTACACATGTTGATCACTTTTATAACCTGATGGAAGTTTCCTTGTGATTATCAGAGTTGGCACACTGGCACACATTCTGCAAGGTCCTCAAAAGCTGTCCATAAATTAAGATCTCCGCCAATCTCATGTCACAGCCAAGCAAGTTAGTTCTTATCTGAAAAGCCATGCTCTTTGCTTTATCCACTATTATTCCAGTTGGTTCCCACCTATATGTAACCATGAGTGTCGTCAGTAGCGGAAAACAATGTATGGTAAGATTGACGTTCCCTCCAAGTGTAAATAACGTTTATGTTTTTGTGGAACGGTGGTCAATCCCTATTGAAATCTGTCGCCAGGCAGATGTGTACGCAGAAATTGGTTGTACACAGAAAAGTTGCATAAGTGGCTATACTCCCTGCAGGGTGTGTTCATTAGATTCAATCGAGACGGTGATTAAAGTAGAGAAAACTTTGCTTGCTCTGACATGTTTCAAATTGTCAAGATTTACCGTTGTTTTTTTTTTACAACGATGACACTACTAGTCATCTCTAGTTCAGTCACACTGCGGTCCACGTGCAAAATTTCCCTACATTTGGCTAATGCTTTGAATCAGAATGATAAATGGTAGAAGCCAGCGCACACTATGCAAAACGCCGTTGACATTGTGAAAATGTTTACGATCACCTCCAAAACTCCTCCACACCGTACACCTGGTTATGAATCTGATGCATTAAATCACTGACATCTAATCACTGAAAGTAATTCATACTTGGCCCTACAGTCTATTTTGCTTAACATTGTGTCTTTTTGCTATGATGAGACTATACAGTATAACCATAAACAAATAGAATAAGTATATACTGTCTAATGAAGGTTCCGCAATGTGCCACTAGAGCTCTGCTCAGTGTTCGTCGATTTGCTGCCGTCGTCGACTTACGTCTTAACGTATCAGACCCACTATTCAGTAATCAGTATTGGTAAAGTAAAAATTCTGAAATCCTGTCACTTTAACCGAACAACCCATTTCCCATCCCCAGTAATTTTTAAAACACAGAAAAAACTTAACAAACTCCTATTCTCGGGATTCTCGGGAATTCTCCAGAAGTTGACAGCCCTCTGGCTCCAACTAACAACTTGTCATGGCAACGCTCGCTAGCGCTTGACACTGCAGCGGTGTGCGCCGAAACTATGGCACTCCTAGAGGTGGACGCCAGAATATATACTAACTGCAGCACTACTGCCGGTCTGTATTTAATCCTTTTGTCCATGGTATAGCTACTTCATCATGGTTGGAACCTGTTGTAATCGTAGTGGATAAAGTCAATTAAGAACTTAGTAATTGTCACAGACTTAAACTGTAGCTTGCTTGCTCAACACATGTATTGATTATGAATTCAATTGAATTTTGTTGCCATACACATGGGGGAATCCGGGGGGGAGGGGGGGGGGTCTTTGGGGGCAGCAGCCCCCCTTTTGAAGTAGCATTTATTTTGTTTAGTTTTTAATCATAAACTAAAAAATAAGCATGAAAATGTTTGAATTTGACTCTACTACTTTATGCTACAGATTGCCCCAAATACATGTTATTATGTTCACAAGTTCCTTAAGAAAGATCCATACTCCCAGTTCATGAAATTATTTTCAAGCAGTCCCCGCCCTTTTAAACCGCCTGAAACCACCCACAATTATACACGATATTGTAAAGTAAGTCATATTAGTTGGAATAAAAAATTAAATTATTCCAATGAATATTTATTTGACGGTTAAAATTTACAGTATTAAAATGTTCTAGTCAAGATTTAACCGCACATTGATCTCAATATGTCATAAGCAGGTTGTCAATATACACCAAATCAAACAAGTGATATTTTTATAGAATTTATTAGAAGATAAGATGTACAAAATGACTGTTAAATGTGCTTTAAATGTATCTTTGTGATTTGTAAATATTTCAAACTACAGTAATGTGTTATTTGCTTTGCGAGTGGTGTAGGATTGTTTTTGTGTGGTATGTGAATAATTGTAAATGCAACTAGCTATTTAATAAGGCACCTATATTCACTAGATATATAGTTGCTACGCTGAAAAATCAAACCTTATTATTTTATCTTATGATCTGCTGTGTTGGAGTTTCCTTTTGATTTTTCTCAGACGGTTATGAAGTTATTGCCAAAATTAAATTTGAGTACTACCAAATAATGCCAAATGAGAAATATCATGAGGGATGCTATAGAAAAAGAGATTTTAGGTGTGTTGGGGACCCAAGGAAGAGGAAAATTCCTTACCAGAAAGGGTATGGATGGGACCCGAATATCTCTTCGGCCCAGAGTGGGTCACATGCAAGCAAACCATGGAGATTCTCGATTTTTTGAAAAACATCTGCAACTAATACATTTTATCCAATTGTAATGCAATTTTTAAAAGCTTAGGCACTTAGTTCCATCAAGTTGGTTTTTCAGCGTGCTATCTTCAACTGTGGTGCCGGTCACTGACAGTTTCTCTGGGTGCTGGCCACCTAATTGCACCACTGCACTCAATAGATCTGTATATTCCAGTGTATGCTCTTTTAACCTTTACATTTAGGCAACTGATAAGCCATTGTGATGAGTCGATTATTCACAATGGATTGATGTTGAACCCCACTATTTATCAAACATAAAAGCAATATTTTATAGTTCAGCAAAGATTCCACCATAGTGGTGTACAAAAACAAAGATGGAAAAGAGTTGTCTCTGTAATTTCTCAAGCATGTACTCAATTTTCATATTGAAATATTTAATTTAAAAGAGCATACATATTGTATTGTATATAGCATATTTCAAACAATGTAATAACCATATACTTATAATTGGAATGAGTACTTTTACCAGAAAATGTCAAGCTTATTTAGTTGTATTCAGAGTGGAAACCATTTCAAAACATTGTAGTGTAAGGTGAGTTATCAGGTAACTCAAAAACCTTTTAGTTTTAACATAGAGGAGAGTAAGGTACAGAGGGTAAACACTTTGTGACGACCATGCGCTTACAGCTCTGGTGTGTTGCATAGCCCCGGGTATGTTGTGCCGGTAATATACTTGTGACGAGCAAAGAAGACCCCGAGTGGCGAGCATTGTGTGGAAATTCCTATCACACAGGGTCTTCCTCCACCATGAGCGTTGTTGTATATGAGAGCGAGGAGGCCGGGTGGTGTCGGATTAATTCTAGACACCAGCGACTAGTGGTAGACACCACTTAAGTGTATCATTGAATGTTATTTCCCCTGTACCTTACTTTTATGTGGTTTGAAGCCCAAAATCTTAATAGCCATATTTCTCAGGTACCATAGAAAGATGTACTTTAAATGTTACAAAAGTAAGCTATTCAAATCAAATCATTATAAACAGGAGTCAATATTAAAATGTCAGAGATGGCTTCATATTTTGGCTTCAAACACTATATATGCTGTGATGATTTCCGACTGTTGCAAAACTGACTTGAAAATTTCAAAGTGTGTGTGTAATATTATAAACCTCAAACAAGCAAATTCAACGAATTAAATCAATATCTATTTTTATCTACCTGGTAATTTTAGAGATTTATGTAATAATGTAAAGACCAGTAGTTTACGCTAGGTTTTGCAAAATTGCTATGTAAGGTTTCTTACACATTGATCTCATTCAATTTATTGTATTTTGATTTATGTTATCATGCTATTTGTATTACCTTCCTAGTCAAATGAAATTCTACATAAATATTTTAAAAAATACACAGTTGTGTTATTTATTACAGATTTCCTTCATTCACATAGCATTTCATTACAACAAATTATTCAATTATTGTATTATATTTTATTTTTTAATGTGGATTCTGAAAATGACGATACATTTGAAATAAAAACACCGTTCATAGTGCACTTATGACCATGTTATCCAAGCAAATACAAATATTGTTATTGTTGTCTGTTGTCCCTTAACTGTGAGGTTATGGAAACCAAGATTTGTTCCCATTTTGTTACCAATAGTTAGAGGTTTAACACATAAAAGCGTTTAACAACAACTTCGTTCTACTAAGCTATTCAGGGATGAAATACAGGAGTGATACAAATGCATTTCATAAAAAAAGATTTAATCCAACCTTATACATCCAGTTTCTTCACGAAATCCCCAGACGACGTACGGAGTAAGTACCAGACTTGGGGTCGAGTTGGAGAAAGTAGTTCACGTATTTTGCAACAAAAATGAAATCTTCATACGAAATGCCAAACATGCGGTTGAACAATTTTTTTACAGTAGAGCCATTTACATACTTCTTGGTACGGAATTTTACTGTGATTGCTAACTTCGGATATTGTCGCACTTCTAGTATACTATTATTGTATTCGCATTCGTCTACAAGAAACCAGTCCAGCAAAACCTTCTGATTTTCCTTGTAAGTCAGCTTTGCCAGGAAGGCTGTTTGGGGTTTGGAGTCTAAATCCGTCCAATTCTCCTCAAAGCAGGTCCATTCAACTATGTCGTTGTCATGCGAAGATTGTGAACGTTGCGTTGGTTTGTGTTTCAATCTTGTACTCAATTCTCCAGCCTCGATCAAAGATACCACTAAAAAAAATAAAATCAAGCAAGGTTGGTTTTAGTTTTTCCTAGTCTTCTCTAAAACAAGGCAGTGGTGAGACAATAGTGGCAACGCTGCAGATTCGGCTTACCAGAACAGCTGTTGCACTAATTCATAATGGAGCGTCTATGTTTGTGTTCCTACTGTAACACTTTAGTGTGCAAACTTGCGTATACTAAATATTTTTGCATAACCTTTTAGTTTAATGTCTAGGGAGTTTAAAAAACCTGGGTGTTTACCTCCTACCCCTCTCGTTTTCCGGCTATGTCGTCATCAATATGGCGGAAAAGGATTTCTTTTAAAGTATGTATTTCGCATACCATGTATCGGATCGGGATAGACTTTTTTGGTTTGAAAGATCATTACACATTTTTGTTGTATTTTTAGTAAAATTTTTGTAATTTGACAAAAACCTGTATTTTCAATATTTATGTGTTATTTTTGTTAACACCGTTTTGTTGATACACATCAGAAACAACCTATGGAAAAGGCTGTTGGACGTTTTAAGAGCTTTGCAAAAATAACATATTTATATGCTTTACTCAAAAGCTGCTGCAGGACTTCCAAGGCAAAGACAGTTAACCCACCAAGGACAGAATTAAAATTACTTAAGATCAAATTTTAATTACTTTCGATACAATTTTTATTCTGTGGTAGCTGAGTCAACCAAATTTTTTTTGTCCTAGGACGCTAGGCACGAGCCCGGAATTGTTTTTCATATTACTTCAGGCTAGACCTAGGGGTTACGGCATCATCACTTAGATAAAATCCATTGGTAATTTGGCGGGATTTGAACCCGGGACCCCAGGAACCGGAGTCCCGCTCCCCCAATGAATTTTTGGTTACTGAGTCAACCACATAGGCCTAATCTGAATAAAACTACTACAGTAATTTACAATCAATTTAATTTGTTCATTTTATATCTAGGCTCAGGGCCGTCCAAAGGGGGGGGCAACCGGGGCAAGCTGCCCCGGGCGCCGTAGCAGAGGGGGCGCTACGAAGCGGCTATTATTGTATTTACATAGTATTAAAATATGCGAATGCAACTATTACTGGGGGGAAGGGGGTGCCACGACTACGTTTGCTAGGGGCCCCGCCAACCCTAGGGACGGCCCTGTCTAGGCTACCATAAAGATCTATACCATTTACCTACCACAATCAGGTTACAATTATAAAGAAACTAGCTTTTAATACCCATTTTCATAAACTTGTTTGTCTCTTATTTACATTCTGGCTGTGGTCAAACATTCAACTGATCGATCATATTGAATTACAATTCGCATTTAAACCTTTAGTACCTGGGGACCGAGCCATGGCTCGGTACTACGACTATCCACAGTACTATCCTGATAATTAGACCAATTCGTAAATTACATGGCAAAAATGTGGTTCGGATTCCATTATAAATTGTAGGTCCCTTAGTTGTCATTGTGGCTGTATGGGATATTAATTAACAGTCCTGTCTAAAGGAGCATGTATTGAAGTAAATATATTATATTTACTTCAATGGGAAGATATCGGCCTTAGTAACAAGACTACAAGAGCACTCATCGAACACTCATCTCCATTCATACTTGGCTTAAAATACCTACATTAGTATGGTCGCCATTTCAATTTAAAGTATTTAAGTATAGTTTATTCCTATTGTACCACTATATCGAGTGATCTTTAGTGTAATCGTTGCTCAATAGTAACAACTGATGTTTTTCCCATTGTATTGCATTTTGTAATTTGCTATAGAAACTGTGGATGGGTGGATGGATTGTTATAAACACATGTTTGAAGTATTTTGTTGAATGTTTCCTTGTTATTTTGTTCAGCCAACATGGTTATTTAGCAACCTATAAGGCCAATATGTTAAATTTTGAATTTCAATTAATTTTTTTACATAATTAGATTTTAGTTGGCAGTTTTAACTGCAGTAAACACGTTTTTAGACCAAATATAAATTATTTACAGCATTTATTTGAAGGAAATCTCTAAAGCCGTTTTTGAGATCTGGGGCCCTATTTTTGAAATGGTTGACAGTTGAGTCGATCGTCAGCACTCAACTCAACCAACAACAGGATTTGGTATTTTTGAAACCCAACAGTTGGGAAGCGAGTTGGGAATCACTAGTTGAGTGACTCGTGGTGGAAATGTAGAGCATACGACCGCACGAAATTCAGATGACGTCATTTTCAACCAATCACAATGCAGAGTTTTTGCGATCTTCGATTTAACCTCTTCTTAAAATCTGGCAGCTAATCTCAATCTACCATATTTCGAGACACTGAGCTGAGGTAAACTGTCAACTCCGTTCTTGAGAGATTGAGGTTATGTCTTGCTTAATCTTCAATCTTAGTGATTGCAAAAGTACCTTAACTTATAAAATAAACTTAAGAATTACAAATAAAATTTACTATGGATGTTTGTTTTAAGGTGTAGCTAATTATAAGTTTAGGCATATCCTAAATACATTATTATTTGAAACATATCACCTTATTTTAGTTTCCTTCATCGGTTTGTTTGATGTTATTTTTAATTGTGTTTTTATTTAGGTTAAAGCGGCTATTTGCCATTGCACTGAAAGCATACCGTAACTTAAATTAATTTGATCCCTTTAGTAGGTGAATGGTTTTGAAACAAACTATGATATTGTTTCTCTCTACCACAATCTTTAATACCTTAAATCATAGGTCTAATAACAATAATTATCTTATAATAAGTTCAATTAGTATGCCTAGTCTATTTCAAACATACCAACAAGGATAAACCCCTTGATTAATTAGTCTAGTATTGACACAGTAGTCTAATAATAAAATTAAAATGCAATTATTCTACAGAAAACAATCGCATAAAGTATTGGGTGCTAATACATTGACAACAAAATACATGACCTCTAAATCGCAGTTAGTAAATTAAAGCAATAACAAACAATATGGCGTCGACTCAAAAACAGCAATTTTTGCCGAAAGAGAGGAAGAAGAAAATGCAGTCAACCTCCACTCAACAGCTCGATAGGTGTTGAGTAGTTTTGGTTGTATAGTCCACCGTCAATCGTTTCAAAAATACGAAACGATTGGAAATAGAATGACTCGACACTCAACTCAACTGTCAACCATTTCAAAAATAGGGCCCCTGGTTAGACTTTACCATCAATTCTTTCTTAAATCATATGTTTCTAATTATTAAAAAATGTTAGTGTTTACTTAAAAATGTAAATACAATATGATGAGTTGAGTGAGTAAATCAATGTGAAAACCAAGTCCACTTTTTCTGAATTTAATATCTATAATTTCTTTATGGTCCTTCTACGCCACGCGATATGAGCCAAGAGAGAGTAACAACATTATTAAAACAGAGGAGTACAGTGAAATCATCCCTTACCAGAATCAAAACCTACATAGAAAATGTGAGTAATACCAATACACAGATAGGGCAAACCTGATTGTAAGGCAAGAAAAGTTAGATGAACTATTTGATTGGTATCTTTAAATTCGTGAAGCAATTATCAATATAGATGAGGTACAAGCTAATGATGACATTTTAGGAGCTTTTGAAGATGATTATTTTGCAACTAAAGCTAAATTATTAAATTTACTAGGTGAATATCAAACTAATGTCCCTAATCTAGTTCCCGTTCATGCGACTAATTCTATTCAACAAAGTGTTTCGGTTGACCCTATTCCTCAAGTCAAATTACCTAATTTACATCTACCATCATTTAATGGGAATATTATTGAGGAATGGCCTTCATTAAGCGAGTTATTTATATCTATTGTCCATGACAGCCAGTCGCTTCCAAATATCCAAAAGCTATTTTATCTCAAATCTTGTCTAAAAGGGGAGACACACCAACTATTGCAGTCACTTCCGTCTACAGATCAAAACTATTTTGAGGCCTGGGACATTCTAAAGCTCAGGTATGACAACAAAAGGCTAATTGTAAATTCTCACCTAAAAGGATTATTCAGTCAAGTACCTTTACAAAATGAGTCCTCACATGAATCTGAAACCCATATTAGGGCTCTAAAGTCGTTAGGTGTCAGGTGAATATGTAGGTGAATGGAATAGCATATACTTGTGTACATAACAAGCAAATTAGATAGTGAGACTAGAAAAAAATGGGAAATGTCCTTAACTACACAGGATAGTCCTAATTTTGAGCAGCTAAAATCGTTTCTTATCTAAAGAATTAATGCCTTGGCATCCTCAAGCATATCTAAGACATCTGCATCCAACATTAGTCATTCTAATAATAGAGGTATTCAAAGTAAAGGGTCATCTAACCAAGCAAAGGGAAAGTCTTCTTTTACTCATGTTTGTGTAATCTGTGAAAAACCTAATCATGCAATTTATAAGTGTGACAAATTTAGTAGCATGAGTGTATCTGACAGAATAGATCTTGTCAAAAAGCGTAAATTACGTTTTAATTGTTTAAAACCCAACCATTCTGCTACTGATTGCAATGGTTCTACTTGCAAACTGTGTAACCGAAACCATGACACAATGATTCATATTGAATTGAAAAAGGAAATTGGCAAAACATGTGACAAGAATAAAGTAGGTAACATCTAACTCTGCTAGTCATAATGCGTATGAACAAGGCCTTGCATCTAAATCTGTTGATCTAAGTAATGCAGAGGACCCAATGTCATCATCACAAGTTTTGCTGTCGACTGCTAGTCCTAATCGAGAATAATAAAGGAGAACGTGTAAGAGTGCGTGCACTACTTGATTCAGGTGCACAATCTAACTTTATATCAAAGTCATGCGCTGATCGACTTGGCTTAAAACTTTTAAACTCTTCAATAACTATTAATGATATAGGACAATCGAAAACAAAAGCAACAAAACGAGTATCATTAAATATTTTTTCAAGAGTTAGTGAGTATTTTACCAACATTTCAGCAGTAGTTTTGCCAACCATCTCCACTAAACTACCTGCTGAGACTATTAACCACACCAACTGGTCTCACTTCTCTACACTTGTCCTGGCAGACCC